TCCGCCTTACACGCTTCGGCGTTACTGCAAGTGCACCAGGCCAAGGCACTGAGGGACTTGCACGAGGGTGGTCACGACCCGGAAGTTCTCAAAGAACTCTGCACCGCGACGGACCTCGCGCTACGAGCGACGAAGGTTACGGCGCGGTCTCTGGGTCATGCGAAGTCCACTATGGGGGTCCAGGAGTGCCATCTCTGGCTGTGTCTGGCCGACATGCGCGAGACGGACAAGACAAGGTTCTTGAACGCCCCCGTGTCCCAGACCGGCCTGTTCGGCGACACGGTGGAGAACTTCGCCCAGCAGTTCTCCGCTGCCCAAAAGCAGACTGAGGCCATCAGGTACAGCTGCGGCCTCCCCCCGGCCGAGGGCGGCAGCGCCCCTGCGCAGCAGCCTCCAGCAAAACTGCGCCGAGGAGCCGGCCGCAGGGCAGCTGCCCCGCCCGTCCAGGCCCCCACCAGACCTGGTGGTAAGCGAAAGAGCAAGAGTCCCTGAAACGGGCGACCCAGAGATGGAGGGAGTTGCTCTTCGGGAGATGGTGAACGCACCACTCCTTCCCCCGGAGGAGGGCCGGGCGGAGAATCTTTTGTTTCGTTTTTTGACCTCGCGGTCAGTGGTACCCAAATACTCGACAAAAGAGCAATTTCTTCTACCTCTGGGTCCCCTGAGGGGATGGGGGGTTGTGAACGTTCCAGAGCCGTATCACACTCACCCTCCTCTCTCGCCAGTGAGCAGCAGTGGACGGATCGGGAGGACGAACCAACGGACTACCCACGCACCCTCTGCTCAAACGCAGGTCAGTGTTACACACACCCAGACCCCGCCTCGGACCGGCACTGAGACGCCGGGCCGGGTCCCTGTGTTCTTCCGCGCTGCCCCACTGAGGGTACGCCTGTAGTTCCGTTGATGCCACTTACGCGGTGTCTGGGAGCCTGGCTAGAGCTACCCAGCCCATCTCAATGGCTCCTTTGAACCGTCAGGCTCGGCTATGTGATTCAGTTCGCCCGGTGCCCTCCCAAGTTCAGGGGCGTCCACTTTACTTCAGTGAAAGCAGCAGATGCCCCTGTCTTGCGTGCAGAGATCGCAGTCCTACTGGCTAAGGACTCGATAGAGCCGGTTCCTCTAGCCGAGATGAGGACAGGGTTTTACAGCACTTACTTCATTGTACCCAAAAAAAGGCAGTGGGTTGGGACCTATCTTGGATCTGCGCATCTTGAACCGGGCCCTTCACAGGCTCCCGTTCAAGATGCTTATGCAGAAATGCATCTTCAGGTGTATCCGTCCCCAAGATTGGTTCGCAGCGATCGACCTGAGGGACGCGTACTTCCATGTTTCGATCCTTTCACGCCACAGGCCATTTCTGCGTTTTTTTGTGTTCGAGGGGCGGGCATACCAGTACAAGGTCCTGCCCTTCGGGCTGTCCCTGTCGCCCCGTGTCTTCACGAAAGTTACGGAGGCAGCTCTTGTTCCCATGAGAGAACAGGGCATTCGCATTCTCAACTACCTTGACGATTGGCTCATACTCGCTCAGTCTCAGGATCAGTTGTGCGAACACAGGGATTTGGTACTTTCACACCTCAGCCTGTTGGGCCTTCGGGTCAACTGGGAAAAGAGCAAACTCTCCCCGACGCAGAGGATCTCTTTTCTCGGTATGGAGTTGGACTCGGTCGAACAGA